CCATACATTTGGTGAACACCCTCGGAGCGGTGGCCAGACCAAAAGGTAGAACCGTAAATTCGTATAAATGGGGTGCAACAGCAAAACGAAGGAAACGCCTATAACTCGGGTGAATCGAAATGTGGAAATAGGCGTCCTTCAAATCCAATGAGGTGAACCAATCCTCCTTCCTTAACAGCAGCAAAATATTTTGAAGGGTGGTCATTTGAAACTTTTTTGTCACGATAAATCGATTTAGATTTCATAAGTCCAAAATCGGATGCAGACCACCATCCCGCTTCAGGACTGTAAAATACCTGGAGTAGAATCCATGGAGTCCGTCAGGTGGAGTTACTTGACGAATCACTCCTTTATGAAGAAGTTGTTGTATTTCATCGAGCAATCCCGGCAAGCATGATATAAACCAGATCGGACTCGATGGAAGAATGATGTCGAATTCTATCCAATAGCTGTGCTGTATGATGGATAATAGCCACCGGTCAGATGCGATGGACTCCCAAATTGGGAGTCGGCTTTTCAGCCGGTCCCCAGATGAGAGGGGGGTGGGTATGGAAGGGATCTGAGGAATGGTTCGCCAGTCCCATCAACGCTGCCTCCTATCTTCGTCATAATGGCGACGGCCCATTGCTGGGGCTTTTGACGGCGGCGTTGCTGTTGCTGCAGCCAGTGTTAGGGCTGTTGTCTAGGCTGATACAATTGTCTATAGGATGGACAGGTCCATGCCCACTTACGCCTAGTTTGAGTCTGAAGTTCCATCCGCCTGGCCGTCATGCAGGACTCGTGGAGTTTCTTCAGCTTGTGGTCAGTTCTGGAGTGGAAAAGCCCGGACCCGTCAAAGGGAATTTCCTCAATCCTCCATTTAGTCTCCTCCGGGAAGTTGGAATTCCTTAACCAGGCATGTCTGCGGAGAGAGACAGCACCGACCAAGGCTCTCGAGTCTGTGTCCACATGATGCCTGGCTGTGGACAACTGCTGGACGGCGACCTGCATCGCCTCCTTGATAAGCACCTTCGCCAAGTCGCCCTGGTGGTCCGGGAGGGTTGAGACGACGTTGTGGAGCAATTGCATTATGAAGTATTGATACCTCGCCAACGTCGCCTCGTAGTTGGAAATGCGCAGCCCCAGGCCTGAGGCTGTGTAGACTCGCCTGGCCAGGGAGTTGATCTTTCGTCCCTCCTTGTCCCTTGGTGCGGTGTGGCCTCTCGCCTCTCTGCCCTGGGAGGACTCCACCACGACCGAGTTCGGCTTGGGGTGGCGAAGGAGGAAGAGAATGTCCTCCTCCCGAACCCGGTACATGGATTCGTACCTCCGAGACATGGATTGAGGGTGAGAAGGCAAGTCCCAGGGTTGCGTTATCGCCTGTCGTAAGGTGGTGATCAATGGGAGGACGATGGAGGTGGACTGCTCCCCGCGGACGTCGTAAAACTTGTCCGTAGTGGGTCCCGGACGCTGGATAGCATCGATGTCAAGGGACTGGACAAGCTGGGACATCAGCTCTGCGAAGGAGACCATAATACGGAGGAGCCGATGACGAGGACTCCACCGGAGAGATGGACCGGCTACTCTTATCCCGAGGACAGTGGACGGTCACGGGAAGGCGGTGAAGACCGACCCCCTAGGTGCGGGATAGTACCCGACAGAATGTGGATCGCCCCAGGCTTGATAGTTGGAGCGATGCCATCCCTCGGAGCACTGTTCCATGGAGTGACTCCTTCGGCTTCTAGGCGGGGACATCTACACATCCGCCTCCATTGTGGCTGCGGGCATAGGTGTGAGCGACCTAGCCCTGGGGGGAGAATCTTGAATTTCCCCATCAGAAATTGACCCCTGCAGTAGAGTTGGAAGTGGCTCAGCAGGATGGTCAGCCACACGGCGAGGGGACCCTTGAGGGGTAACCCTCATAGCCGCCTGAAGCACCGGATCGGGTGGAGTTGGTACAGTGACTGCCGCTGGTACCGAGGGGGCCATCGAACCCAAGTCACGGTGTCAAGGGCACTCTGGGTCCTTCAACTTTTTCGCCGGTTTTGGAGCCTTCTCCTTCCTGGTTTTCTTTGCTGATTTGTCAGTTTCAGCATGCTTACGCTTCTCGTGCTTTTTCTTTGGAGAAGCAGGAGGAGCCCCCATGGTAGACGTGCCTTCATCCAAAGGGCGTGAGGGCAGAGCCACCGTAGCAGAGCCAGGCTTTGGAGCGACAACGAGTGGGTCAGACTGCATGAGAGCCCGATCCCACAAGAGCCTCCGCAGACGATTCTCACGGTTTTTCCTGGCCTGCTTAGAGAAGGCCAGGCAGTGAGAGCATTTGTCAGTCCTATGCCCCTCCCCGAAGCAGAGGAGGCATAGGTCATGCGGGTCGGTCGGAGACATCTTAGACTCGCATTCCGCGCATCTGCGGAAAGCCGCTCGCTGCGCCATCGCAAGAAAGGAAAAAATAGGAGATAGTACAGAGGGTAAGAATATATTTTTGGTTTTGTTTTGTTTTGTTTTTTATAGAAGATCAAAAGAGAAGGTAGAACAATAGAAAACTATGAAAACTAACAAGAACTATAAGAACTAGCAAGAACTATAAGAACTAATAGGGCTATAACAACTGGGAGAGAACAATCGAGAGCAAGAACAAGCTAGACGAGCAACGGTCAAAGCGAGAGCGAAAGTGGCACGAGGCACAGCAAACGGCGGTTGCAAAGACTGAACAAAATGTCAGACGCTCCGCTCTTTATAGGCTATGGGGGAGGGGGAGCGGAGATTTCCCGCCAAAAATGGTTAGCTTGCAATCTTCCGGCCAAAGGCACTGCGCAGGCACAGCACCCATATATGTGATGCACAGAGGCCATGACAAAGAATAATAGTTACAAAAATTATTTAAGAACACAACCATAAAAATAACATAAAACAGGAAAATAGGAGCATAGTTTTAGGGCTTGGTTCTGACAATAACCCATACCCCAAGGGCTGAATATGAGTTGCTGTTCAACCATGGGTTGTTTTTGAAATGTGGGTTAGTGTGTTGTCTGCACCTAGCTATGCTAACAAACCATATTTGTTAACCATAAATAATCCACCATTCACAACAACAAACTATAGGTTCCCTTCATGGGGTTTTGAGGTTAATAAACCATGGGTTGTTAACAGTAACTCATATTTCAATAGCAAACACACAATTCAGTCAGAACATGCATTCAGCTCTTTTCAGTGGTTTTTCATTCTTCTATCAACTTACTACAAAGATGTCTGTCATATCTAAAATCCCTAAATATAGAAAAATTGCATTTTTACACATACCCTATAAGCTAAAATGTGTCTCCATGTTCCCAATATCAACTACATTATCAAAAAGAACTATCATAAAAGTAAAGCAACTTACCAGACAATAAAGTAAAACCTAAGACTCAGCCAAAGAGATAGTAATACTATCAAGAACACCTTCACATTATATACCTCCCCAGTGTATAAAGCAGGTCTCAGTTTGTCACTACAAATCATGATTTGCTATTTAGAAGCTGTAACTTCTGTAACTGTAAGTTCCATAACTGTAGTTATAGAAGCTGTAAGTTCCATAACTGTAGTTATCTTTCATTAGATACATTTCAAAGAACATCACTTTTCTTTTCCCTTCCTTGTGCCAATTTTATCTAATCTTTCACAAGTTTATTCCCATGTTATAACTAAATACAGTGTTCTGTTTGCCACTGTTAAGTGCAATTCAGCATCTTTTAAGCAAGTGTTCGTTAGATATGTTGGACTGCAAACTCCATCAAGGATTATATTGAATGGTACTCCATCTCATTCGAAGGGCACCACAATGAATTGCACTTTTAGATTCTGACAATGATCAGTATGATTTTTTTTTTCAGAGACTTCATGCTTCATCAATATATATTGTCCAACTAACCACTGGATTAACTTGATCATTTCCAGAAATCCTGAATGCAAGGACAAGAAAATATGTTTTCACTAAAGGCAGTTAACTGCACAAGCCACATTTTTATTGTGCAATTTAGTATCATAGGAACATATTTTAAAATTCAACTGTTGCATGTTACTCATAGTACACAGCAAAACAAAAAAAATCCTGTTCTCATTTCTTCTGGTTGTCTTTTTCAGTTTCTTTTGATGTCAATCACTCAAGTGCAGTTTGGCTTAGCAGTAAGAGAGTATTGTAGGACCTTTTAAAATATAATACACAGAGCCACTGATTTCAACCACTTGTGCATTCATTACACCCAATAGCGTACAGTGATTCTTTCCTGACCAAAAATGTAAGAAGAGACATATACAGGCAGTTCCTGGGTTACGAACAAGTTCTGTTCCTGAAAAAAAATAGAAATTCATCTTTAAGTAGAATTTGTATGTCACCCATCCACATTCTCAGGAGTAAGGGACACTGAATCCCCATGAATATCCCCAGGCCCCCTTCATGCTCAAATTCACTGGAGCCTCCTCTTTGCAGCAAGGAAATTCTGAAAAGATATCCTAGAATGGGCAGGACAGAAAGACCTGCTCTGGAGGCCTCCCTTTCACTTCCTCTCACTTGACCGTGATGACAATTGCCTGCAGTATTTTTTTAAATTAATAGGTTTTATGGCACATTGTTTCTAAGTACAAATTGTTCGTAACTCAGATGTTCGCAACTGGGGGACTGCCTATACACATCAGCTCTCCAAAATGTAAATTTCATGAACCACATCCAACATAGATATATAAATGGCAATATTTAAGATCATTAAATACTTAAAGTTTATTTCTAAGATTTATTAGTTGTTTTACAGCTAAGGTCTCTTAATGTAGAAAACCCATATAAATAAATCAAAATTAGAATAAAAATCAATTGAAATGGAGACTAAAACAAACTGTCTTGACATTTGCACAAGACAATGCTATCTTCCTGCTCTCCCTGGTTTAAGGCCTAAATCCAGCACAGAGGTAGACATACTTGGGTCCTTTGAAATCAGCAAGACTAAGCTTACCTAAAATTCTGTGTTAGCCAAGTCAAAGATTTTTACCTTTTCATCTTTTCCTTTTGCTCTAGATTCCCTCTCTCGGCTGCTGGCAGATTTTTCATTTTTTGAAATTGGCTGAGCTCTACCTATAGGTCCCCGTTGTAATCCTGGAGATTCTCTCCTCAGAGGTTTCACTTCTCTATTGGGTCGCTTTATCTGAGGAGGGGCTCTGCCAAGTAAAGAAAGCACACAAGAAGCAGTTAAGAGAAACCAAACACTTTGCAATCTTCTTTCCCGATTTGATAGAAAAAGTTTACATTCAGATTGTACAAGTTGGTCTGTGATGAGTCAGTGAATGGACAGCTATGATATGGAACAACAACCCTGTAACTCCCTCTTCTAATGCTATGCAGACGTTGATCAGGTTATTTCTGTACACTATACAGAAGCTATTACTTGGTTATTTTTAATGGTAGTTAAATTGTTGACTATAATTTTATTGCTGTATACCACCTAGGTAGCCCATTTGAGGTGTTTGGTGGCTTATAAATGTAATAAATAAATAAATAAATAAGCAAGCAAGCAAGCAAGCAAGCAAGCAAGCAAGCAAGCTTTTTTTTTTTTTTTTTGGTTAAAGAACACTAAGCAAAAAACGGTAATGGCTGCAAACTAACAGAAACTAGAAATATCACGCATCTTTGCTTATCTGGCACAAGTCCTTGGAAGTCCCCGTTTGGGGCAATATTCTATACAGCTGCTGAACCTCCATTAGCTTGGCTGTACCCACACAAGTCACTGGTAGCACAACAGGAACTAGTATTTCTGTAAGCAACCAACAAAACTTCCTTCTCTGAGTTCCACTGACCTGGATTATTCTGAGTATTTCTGCTCTTTCTGAATGCTTCAAGAACTGATAGCTCCCCACTACATCCCTGGTGTGTCCCACTAACATGCCCTATGCTATTAAGGAATACAAGGCAGAGGTTCAAGTAAACCATGGAAACAGCCAGATGCTAGGCAAAAGGTTAGTCACTAGAAAGCCAGGACAGGGAACCAGGGAGATGTTGTATTCACAACAGTTTAGTTCAGACATCACACCAAGCCATAATTAAGAAATCTTAGCTATGGTCTGGTGGGATGTCTGAATTAACAAACTTGAGTTTGTAAACAGTCAGCAAACTAAAAGAATCAACTATGATTTGAAATGGAACCGAATATCATAATTTGTACAAAGGATGGGTTGGTAAAATGTCTTAATTTTTAATCATAGCAATAACAGTAACTATGCGCCATATAAATAGCAGGGATGAGTAGATGAAAAATAAAAACAGACAAACAGATTTAGATTTCTAAGTGCAAGCAATAGTTTGGGTTCTGGGAATGGTTTGTGTAAACCAGTGAGTAGCGTCTGAATTATTATTCTCTTTTATTAATTTCTTAAGGTGTAGTCCTATGCCCTCTAGACACTGTTTAGATGACCACAGGAAAGATCAGCGTTCCAGCTCTGAACTCTGAAATTATTTTTTCCACATTAGCTGCAGTTTCAAGGATGGAAGACCAACCTCAGAGTGAGCACTGAGGGTATTCCAGGAACAGAGACTGAAGGGGTGAACTTCCACCAAGAAAATGCTGTATCCTGGTGGGACCTAAGTCCGTCCTCCTTACAAGCCAGTGCAAAACACTTAGTCAAAATTGGCCATCTTAAGTTTTTTGTGAAGCAAGAGAAGTGCAGAGATGCCCTTGACCTCTGTGTTCCTTCCATCCTCAATAGGATGCTCATACTCCTCTGAGTTTAGAGGGTTATGGGCAGCCACATAGGATAGTGTGGCCTGCCACCTGCCTCCGAAAAAGGCTCAACATGTCTTACAACAGAGTTTAAAACATACAAGCATTTAAAAACAGCTATAAAAAGTAATAAAATACTGATAAGACAACTAAGAGGCCCATCACATGCTGCCCAATGCCTAAGAGGAAAGAAAAAAACTAACATGGCACTGAAACAATTTGTTTATTAGATTGATATCCTGCCTTTTCTCTTACAAAGAACTCAACAAAGATGACAATGTTAGTAGCTAGCAAAGTTCAATAGAGAGACCATTCCATAATCAGAAGGGGCAATACCAAAAAAGCCCAGTCTTTTGTTGGTATCCTCCACATATCCCTCAAAGGGCAGAGAAGGGACTTAGAGGTTGTCCAATACATACAGGTAGGCTCATACTGGGAGAGGTACTTGGTCAGTCAATGCAGTCCTGAGCCATATAATGCTTTCTGGGTTAAAATCAGCACCTGGGATTGGTTTCAGAAAGGCACCCAACACAAATGGGCCAAAATTATGCCATATGCTCAGATCTTCTAGTTCCTGCAGTAAAACTGTGCGTCACATTAAGTACAAGTTGCAGTTTTTTAATCTATGTAGCCCTACATAGGTGCCAAACACAAATCAAGGTGAAAACATAGCATTATGATTCACTCTCTCAAGTTTTAGTTGATTCATCTCCCAATTAAACTTACAAACCTATTTTCAACCCAATTACCTGTGCTCAGCTGGAACAGGAGGTGGCCAAACAGTCGGATCCTTAAAATGTTCATCCTGATAAGATACAGGAATATCCGTAGGTTTGTCTATTTTAAAACTCTCTAAAGTGTTGACAATGCTCTTTACTTGCTCATATTCTTCCAAGAGTTCTTGCCGAACCTTAAAAATAAACAGATTATTTTATCCTAAAGGCTTCTACCGTATTTTACATAGCTAGTACATTAAAAGATTATGAAAGATTATGCCACTACAGAGTAATGTAGGATGAAAAGAAGGCAGACTGCAATTCATTTATGTACCACTGGGTATTTACTGGTACATCACCTAATGGTTCCTGAGATTTTTCCATAAAACAAGCTGAACAGGGTAGATCTCAGTCTGACTCAGCTGGGCACATTTAAGGCAAGTCACGAGATATGTTTATATGCGCAGTTTGTATCAGACAGTTTATGTGGCAGCAGTGGGTCAAATTCACTTCACCTCCTGCTGCATCACTTATCCAAAGCTGCCACCCAGAAACCTATAGCTTGGGAACACTCATCACACAACTTTCACATCATGTCTACTTTGGCCCCTAGACAGTTAATGTATCGATCTACAGTTCCCCTATAAATTCAATGTCAGTAGTTAGTTGGGATGCATACCCTTCAACTGCTTGTGCTGGGTGATACAGTAGGCATTATTCACCAGGGCTTTTTTTTCCTATTTAGGGCATTTGTTCCTCAACACATTTTTTCTTTAAAATTCATTATTAGATTTCCAAAAGGCTCAAGTTATGCATGACTGTGGAGTGAAAAAAGGAGAAAATGAGAAACTGAGGATATGATTTCCCATTAGATCATTCAAATTCCATTTATTAATTACTTTTATAAATGTAGATGGAAACAGCTCAGGGTCAAATACAAATGCCCTGCTGCTCACATCAGCACTTTATGTTCAGAAGAGGCTTCTGGGATTAAGGTGAATTTTCCATATTAAATATTTTCCTTCACCTATGGACTTTGCTCATCCAGCCCACAAATGATTAAGTCCCTCCTCAAGCTCTGGTCCTGACCTGGAGGCTTCTGGAGCTTTGTGAGGAGACTGGGAAAGGAAATCCCTTCTCCTCCATCTGTGATTAGAAATAACAATGAGATTGGACACTTGCAGGAAGAAGCACAAACAAAGCCAGGCTTTGCAATGTCACTTCCCCTGTTTTGTCTCCCCAGGGAAAGAAGGCATGAAGCAGGAAAGTGGCTTCACTGCATGCAAGCCTTCTCTGTTCAGGAAAGAGCAGAGCAGCAAAGCTCTTTTCTGGAGAATGTGCTGGGACAAACATCCTGTCAATGTGCCTAACAGAGACCTAATGATCAAGGACTGCGGCCCCACCCCAACATCATTTTGATCCACAAAGTTCAGGATAGGGCTCATCTAAGCCCATTCTGGTTGACCAACCTCACTTTAACTCTTTAATCCTCATCCCTGTGAACTGAAGATCAATCACAGATAACTTCATTTGCTCATTTTCCTCTCTTGCCGCCCTGCTTCTCCATGCCCTTCTTTCCCTTTCATATGACCTCACTAATGAAACTGAGGGTGTATGCTCCTTGTATTTTTGCTTACAGTTCTCTGTAAAGATCACAGTCTATGAATACATTTTTAAAGTATTTATAATTTTCTAATCTCACAGAAAAGTGAGATTTTGAAAAAAGAGAAAATTGAACAAGTGGTGCTGGAGAAGGTGTGAAGGTGTCTGCTAATCCTGGATCTTCTGTCTATCATATAACTGGTATAAACTGCTTTATTATGTGTTGCTAAAATATATAAATAAGCTGTGACTCTCACCAAGACCTGAGCTGCTACTGCTAATAAACCAGGTATCGTCATCAAAAAACATTAAGGTCTTTTGCAATGTGTTTGTTCATCAATTTGTGCCCTCCAGCTGTGTTGGCCTGTATCTCTCATCATTTCTCACAATTCATTATCCCTACTAGGAAAAGTGTGTGTTCTAGGCCAAAACAGCAAGGTCTGCATGTTTCTCACTCTAAATTTTCTTATTAGATTTATACCCCACTTTTTTTCTTCTTTTTAAAGAACTCAGATTGGCTTACATCATTCTCTTTTTCCCTGTTTTATCCCCAGGACATCAGTTCAGTCAGGTAGATTGGGCTGAGAGTCTGTGACTGGCCCAAAGTCTTCATGGCTGAGTGGGGACTAGAACCCAGATCACCCGAGTCCCAGTCCCACATGCTTAACTACTGCACTACACTAGCTCTAATCCATTATCTGCATACATTAACTCCTTATCTATTACCTTTTCCAACTCCTGGTGTTATCAAAGGCTCCACTGGCTCTACTGGAAGACTGACAAGGAAGTTTTTAAAAATCAACAGGTAGCGTAATGACGTTTCCCCATGTCCAGAAACCAGAACTGTTTCTTGAAGCCATGCCTAGGCCTTATGGCTTTCAGCTTTCTAGGAAGTACCAGAGATAATTGCCTTGAAGCTGCCTTCCCCAATCATTCCATAGACAAAGGTTGTTTTTGCTGTAATAATAAAACTGTTTGCCTGAATGAAGCACCTCTCCCACACCCATCTTTCAGGAAATGGAGGTTAGTGCTTAAGCATACTGACAGAATCTGCAATAATGGAAAAGAAGACCTTTTTATTTAACCAATATTTTAATTAATTTTAATTATATATTTATTCATTTAATTCATTTTAACCATGTTCTTTTATACTCAGTCGTGGTGTAGCCAATTTATGTGTTTAGGACTGGATACTGTATTTGGGGTTTTAATGTTTGTAAACCACCCAGAGAGCCCTCTGGGCTATTGGGGTGGTATATAAATGCAATAAATAAATAAGAAATAAGAACTTTATAAAAATCCATGACAAAGAGACATTATTTGTTCTCAGCCTGGAGAGAGCAAGTTTGGAGGGCTACAGAGAAGCTGCAGAGAATCAGGGAAGGACAATATAACCTTTTTCAGTTATTTATATTCTACATCCATATTTCTTCATTGGATTCAGTAAACTGTATATCATCCATGACACAAACAGTTTTGCTTCATCCTAAGTATCCTTGAATCTGAAGTGAAGTACCCTGTCAGTTCCAGATGCCTGGGGTTAAAAACACTTTAAAATGCTAGATTTTTTTCCAGTAAAATCAAAGCCTCACAAAAAAGTCAATAGGTTGGGGTTTCATATGCTTGACGAATCAGAAAGGCTTGAAAGTAATACATAACACTTTAAAAAATAGGTATGGATGCTGATTTCTGGATGTTTCAGCAGTGGCAGTTAATCTGCTAAGCCAGTAAGAAGCTGTTTTTCAGCAAGCAATTTCAACTGAGACAGTTCAGATAAAATGTTACATTGAGTATTCAGTTTTAGGAGCAAAAGTATTATGTGAACTGGGCACTCCTGAACTCAGCTGACAGCAACTCACATGATTAGAACCTCTGGAAAATGTGCCATCACAGTCATGCATACAACTGCTTACTGTATCCATGTTCACTCACTTTACACGTTACATTTCTCTGTGCAACTGCATATAACAAGGATGAAACAGGATTGCTCCAAAGCAGAGCAAGAGGGCTTCAATGAATAAACTGAAAGGCCCAAATTAAGATCACATGGTCACAGAGGATCATGACAAATTGGGAAAATTAATGCATTAATAACGCTGCTAGAAGCAAATCAGGGGGTAGTAGAAATGAATCCAACAAATATGAAAGAGATTTAATGCATAATATGTCAAAATACATTTTGCAATATAGAGAGGGAATCAAATGTTACAAAAGTAATTAATTATAGAGATGCTTCGTGTAATTTGGAGCATGTGAACTGGAGGGACACACTCCAGATTTCCTAGAATGCACAGAGCACACTTGCCTGCCAGTGCAGGCAGCACTGACAGACCGATGTGGAGGATCCAATGGACTAGTCTGCCTTCTTTCAGTTTCACTGAAACCTCCACTACAGGACACTCAAGGAGTCAACATGAATCAAATTTATTCATTAATACATGTATGATTCTCCCAGTTAAAAGGAAACCTCTGCTAATATCACCCTCTCTGCCACATGCCAGATGCTCCAAGGGAGACCTGATCAGATTAACTAGAGAAAGCCCCTAAAGGGAAGCCATCCAAGCACTAACTGCCTCTTCTTCCTTTGCTAAGCTACAGTCTTTAACATTCCTTCTTATCTGTCCCATTCTAAGTAAATTGGCTTGGAAATCCAAAGTACTGCTCTTATTAACTACAGTTTTGTTTTTTAAATAATATTTTTCTTTACAGACTCCGCAGAAGTAATTCTCAGAGAAACCTCATTCAAGCCGAGTCAGACTGCAGTCTGTACATTCAAGCTGTGCCTTGGCTTAATTTCTGCCACAGCAACTACCAGGAAAACGGTCGAGCCTTGGTGGACCCAAACCTCAGCTGACTTTATTTCTTGTTCCTACCATTCTCTCCCTTATGCACATTTTTTTTTTTTTTTAGTTCGAGCCGTTGGTATCATAAGGGCAGGGCATATTATTAAAAGATCCCTGGCCAAACCTGAACTCCAGCTTAGGGCAGTTGAAGCAGAAGGCATTCTCATTCAAGCAACCTTCTCCATAAAGAATAGTCTTGCCTCTGTTGTGTGTACCGAAACATGGCAATAGCTGTTTCAAGTTGTTCATTTTCTATCCTTTCATCTTCATTTTTCACTACTCTCCACTTCAGCCATAGCCATGCCTCCAAAGCAACACACTTGGAGTTAGTGCTTGTGTGCACAGGACTCCCAGTGTCCCCTGCATGTCACCAGGGGTAATTCCTCAGTGACAGTGCATTTCTTTTATACTATTCAGCCTTGACAGAGGTCCAAGGTAATTGTTCTTTGAGTATTTGACTAGTCAAATAAGAACTTTATAATGATCTATTTGCATCCAATTTAAATGTGTTTCTTTTTTTCTCTGCAAGCTAAGTGCAGGCAAAATTTGATTTAAATATGTTAATCCTACCAAGAGCCAGATAAACTCTGTTTGGAAGGCAGGTTAATTCAGGATAAAAGACTACTATGTTGAATTGATTTACTCACATGTCAGGATGCATAAGTTTGTAGACTTAAGTTCTTGCTCAAATCACAGCTGGGGATTTCCCTTGCTGATTTTTACAACTGCTTATACCACAGTAACTTATCTCAAGGTTCTTAAAGCCCACATTCAACTTTTTCTACATTTCATCTGAACTGCAGAATGAGGATGGGAGGGGGAACAAATTGCCCTAGCATGCCACAAGGCTGAAGGTTCCCGACCATGTTATTTCATATTACTAAACTCAGGGGAGAAACAAGTTGTGTCTATTGTATTCTGTAGGAGAATGAATTTCTTAAAAACTGCTTTACCTTAGAGCAGAATGAATGAGTAGTTGGAACTGTATAAACTTCCCAGTTAAAACAGTCCTGGGCCTCAGAGAATCAAGAGACAATTCATAGGTTAGTTGTACTTGTTTCTTTGCCTCCAATCGAAATTGTTCTAATGAATTGTAATCATAAATATATATCATTTATTTATAAATAAGTAATCCTCAGGGCAACAACTTAACAGCATCAAATAGGAAACCTATTCCCTGTAGGCTAGCTGGAATGCTGCACTGATTCCTTAGCTGGCAGCTGGATATTGGGATAAGCAACAACCCTGAGTAAGAAGACTAGGTTCCAATGTTGATTTCAGCTCTTAGAATAGAAAGGCAGAATATGATTGGAATAAACCTTATCATACCTGTTGCCACTTGCCCTTCAGTGCTGGGTCTCTGATTGACTGACAATGACGTTGAATTTGCTGGATGACACCCTGGTAATAAACCATTGAAGAGTCATAGTTCCCAAGAAGTGCATATTCCCTTCCTTTTTTAGCATTATCACAAATCTCAGCCAAATTCATCTTCTTTGAGAATCCTACAAAACAACAAGAAATCATAAAAAGAAAATTATTGCATGTGGATAATACCTTAGGTCTGTAACTGCATGTTTTATAGTTTACAGTGTTTATTACTTATTATTACTTAGCTGGCTATGAAGTTTATAATCCTCACTGGAAATCTTGCCCAGTCACTCCCTGGCTTCTAGAACTTCAGAAGGACCTGCCCACATACCTTCAAAGATATATTGTCAGCTCTACAGATTAAAAGTTTGATCCTAAGAGAAAAATGAAAGCTGAGACTCTCAAGGAGTTGAATCCTGCATCCAGTACTACATAATACAACTGTTCTTCACTCTTGAAAAATCGCAACAGTGCATACATATGCCATGGGTGGTACTGCCCATCACATGGCACATGTTCAAGTTTATGGCCAAGAATATACTTTACAAGGAGCTGCAGCCAATTCTGGCTCTCCAATTAGTGTATCATATGATGTATGCTTCCATCTCATTTACTTATTACCTGTTTTAGGTATTCATATAAAACTCATAATGTGTGAATAAGCTCTAAATATATAGAAAGTAATGTTGGATAACAACAGGAGACCTTATTACGGTATGTATGCATGCATGCGAAAATCCCCAGTGACAAGGACACAACTACCACCAAGTATCTTCTCAGTAGCAACCACCTAAAGTCCTTTTTTCATTTTGTCATCTATACAGGTTCTGGCTTTTCAGAACCAACCAACATACCATTTCAACAAGCTGTCTTTATTTTGGTTTTGCATATTCCAAATATCACTGAAGATGACCTGCTGAATGATAACTATAAAGGATTAAAACATGGGCTATATAACATTCCATCCTTTGGCCTAGCAATGTTATTTCATTTTATTGGGCAACACTGTTAGTTACTTGTACCTAATGTCTTTCCAAGACAATCTTTCGAACAAATTAATGCACTGGAGACACAGCAAAGTCCTCCAGATTGCTTTTGAGAACATTGCAGGAGAGAGGCTGAAGTCATCCTGATATTTTTAGCACAAAAAAGACACAATTCATTAACACACACGACACTTTAGTAATAACAAAGACAGAAGGAAACCTGTCTTAAAAAACCATTCAAGAACTAATGTATTCTCAGGTCAAGAAAACAAATCTCAAAGGATCTGCTGTGCTTTTTTTTTTAAGTCTACAAACCTTCCTCAGTTCAAAATGAAAGCAAAACATCATCTGCTATGTGAAGCAAGTTGTTGTTTCAACAGAATCCCCTCTTACCTATCCACTTTGGCATGACTGCTTACTAATACTGCCTCCCCTATCCTTGTTTCACATCAAATATGAGTGCAAAGTTACTGTCTCTTTTGGAAATGAAACAGCATAGCACAAGAGAAACCTGTGCTTGAGCTGCTCCCATTAATAAATTGCAAAGATCTGCCATGCTGATCCCACAAGTGCAAACTGCAGTGACCATCTTAGACTGCAGACTTGACAAAATTTAAAAAGACAACACTAACACTCATTGCTGCATGTCCTGAAAAAGGATCGATGCCAAAGCATTACTGAAGTAATGGTATGTAATAGCTTGTTCCATGTTCTAGTTCCTGTTCCTGTCTATTTAACATTTTATTAAAAATCCATTAGCACCCACTTTTTCATTCAGATCTACATAGCAGGCACTTGTGAGGGAATCTGGACAAACCAGAAGCTTGGGGCTGGAACCTAGCCCTAGTAAGCTATTATGGACTCCATGCACCCCAGCATCAGAGCCATCTCTGTAGAGAATAACAACAGAAGAATATAAGAATAAGTCCATGTAGTCCAGCACCCCATACACATGATGGCAAACCAGCTGCCCAGAGGATCATTTAAGCAGGATGGGTGCAAAGCCTTCTCCTATCCAAGCTCCCCAGCAACTGGTATATGCAGGCATGCCATCACTGATAAAAGAGGCAGGGCATAGCTAGCAAGGCTAGTAGCCACTGATAGCCTCCTCCCTCATGAATCTGTCACCACTTCCCATGGCAGCAAATTCCATAGCTGAACTATACTCTGTATGAAGAGTACATCCTTTTATTTCCTCTCATCTTCATGGGATGAAGGGAAAATACTACACATTATACCTTATTTTAAACAGTTCTCTCATGTCTCCCCTAACTCATGTTTCTTCTAACCTAAATGGTCCCAGTTGTTGTAGCTGCTTCTCACAGGGGAATTGCTCTGGCCTGTAATATTCTCATTGCCCTTCTCTGAACTTCCAACTCAATAATGTCCTTTTTCAGGTAAGGCAACCAGAAAGCATGGTCATACCAAAGTTTTGCATAAGGGTAGTAAGATTTGGCAGTTCTATTTTTTATTCTGTCCCTACTTATGTCTTCCATGGAGTTTCCCTTTTTCACAGCAGCTCTGTAATGAGCTGACATTTTCATCAAGCTGTCCATTACTACCTCAAGATCATTTTCTTGCTCAGTCATTGCTAGCTCAGATCCTATCAGCATTTACTTGAGACTGTGATTTTTTGCCTCAACTTGCATTGCTTTACACTTGCTTACACTGAACTGCATTTGCCATTTTGATGCCCATTCTTCTACCTTGGAAATCCCTTTAGAGCTCCTTTTGGCTTTTTGGTTTAATCACCCTGAATAGTTTGATGTCACCAGCAAACTTGGCCACTTCATTACTTACTCCTAATTCCAAATCATTTAGGAATAGGTTGAAAAGCATAGGTCATTATACAGAACCCCATGGGACTACACTGGTTACAACCTCCATTGGAAGAAATTACTATTTATTCCCATTCTCTGCTTCATGTTCTTGATTCATAAGAGGACACCAACTCCCATTATTCAACAACCACTAAGTTTTTTCAGGAGCCTTTGTTAAAAACTTTTTAGAAGTCCAAATAAACAATGTCTACTCTCAATGAACTCCAATAGGTGAGAAAGGACTTCACCTTGTGGATTCCAAATTAATACTTTTTCAGCAGGGCTTATCCCTCTATGTGCCTACTTACTCTACCTTTAATAATGCTTTCAAGCAGATTACCCAGAACAGATGTTAAGCTAACTAGCCTGTAATTTTCCAGATCCCACCTGAATCCCTTTTTAAAAAATTATATTAGCCATTCCCCAGTCCTCTGGTACAAGGGCTGACTTTAGGGTCATATTAAATATTTTGATAAGAAGATCAGCAATTTCATGTTTGAATTGAGAACTCCAGGATGGATACCATCTAGACCTGGTGATTTGCTAACTTTCAGTTAGTCAATAAGGTTAAGATTTTCATCTTTTGTCACTAGTATCTGCCCTTTCCTCAGGCTCTCTTCCACAATACAAAAGCTCAGAAACAGTTGATGAAAAAGTTCATTTTGTTTCTCTTCAATACCCTTAGTGCTCCTTTAATTCCATTATCCTCCAATGGTCCAACTGTTTTCTTTAGTTGCTTGCTTCCTCTTCTTTTCTTTTTTCTTTATTGTTGGCCTTGATGTTGTTAGCAATATGTTCCTCAAACTGTTTCCTTGCTTCTGATTGTCCACTTGCATCTCCCTTGTGCAAGCTTGTGGTTCTTCCTATTTTGCATAATAAGGACATGCTACATCATCCCTTGTGATTGGCTTGCAATATGAAACCTCTGAATTGGCCTGGCTAAGTATAAACGCTGGGAGACCAGCCAACACCAACACCAACACCAACACCAACACCAGCAGCAGCAGCAGCAGCAGCAGCAGCAGCAGCAGCAGCAGCAGCAGCAGCATTCTTTTGCTGCAATTTGGGCTCCAGCTTAGGGCAATGAAGTAAGGAATCCTGAAGAACAAAAGTGTAGTCCTTAATTTTAGAGTCCAATGTCTCCAGCTGAAACCTGGCATCTCTACTCTCAGCTTACTAGCAGTTAGTGTCTTTAGAGGAGAACTATGAAAAATATTTACATCCTACCACTCTGTCTCAACATCAAGATGCCCATTCTAGCTGTCTCCATCAAATTTAAACACACACTAATAACAGCAAAAAGCAAGAAACAAATGCAGCAGAAAACATTATAATAAAACCAAGAGGGTTGAACCCAAGAATAACTAAAAGAAATATCCAGCTACTTTATTTTCATAACACAGGATGACAGAAACCTTGCATAATCTTTTCCTCCTCATACAAGCAGTTTCAGATCCACACTATGTGAAAGAAACCATATCCACAAATAAAACCTTTTCTCAGCAAATTTTGTCAGACATGAAGTACGTTGCCCAAAGCCTGAGCAACATAGCCATTCACAAAAGAGAAAAGATGTGCCGCAATAACATTTCACAATTAAAGCAGGCTTACTGGATTGAGGAAGTTACCTATACATACTTACAAAAAGGTAAGCAGCTGAAAGAGGTTAGCCCAGGGACAAGGTCATGATATTTGATCATGGACTCTCAACAGAAGTAGACTCCAGGTGGGATGACAAGTCCAGTTTACCTAACCACTGGATTATTCAGATATTCTTTATTGTTTCTTTTTGGGGTCAAAGGAAATCTAAACATAGCATTTTACAATGTATTTACCTCTTCTTTTGTGACTGTATCATAACCAAACAATCTTTAAATTAATTCACAGTTCCTAAGTTAAAACATCATCTCTTCTCTTTCACCTTTGAACATCTAGGACAATCTTTTTTCCACAAATTGCAAAATTGTTTCATAAGATACAATCTCCTGCTTTGATTAAGCAATAGCCAGTATTTTCCACTCCAGAGTTTTCCCAGCCATGCTGGACTCTGTTATGGAACAAATCTTATATGTTTCACAGAACGTAAGCAAAACCTGAAACATCTGCATTGGGACAGTAAAACCACAGGGACATAAGAGGTGTCAAAAGTCTTTTATATTTCAGATATAATCAAGTTCTGTATTTCTGTAGCTCCAAGAGTAAGATAAGTACTATATCAGGTATATCCTAGATGGCTTAACTCAAGCCTTACAAGGCAAAGATAAGGCTACAATGTATGACAGCAACTTTTATGTCATTTATGCACACTACGAAGAAAAGCTGTCTAGATAGCAATATCATCAATCTGTCCCTTTCTTAGTTATATGGATCAGAAGGTTTTGTCACTTTCATGTCATATTTCAGATTAAAGTTCACTGTGACCATTACTATTTCAAATCAAGCCTAATGGGAAACATGCAGCAATAATAGGCCTGCTGTTCTCAATTTATCAAGTATACTCACTGAATTCTATGTGAACCACTGCTGGACCAAGTTCTTATTCACACAAGTGTCCAGTATTTCTTTCTTCAAACATTCTCTGAAAATTTGTTCTGCATGCAAAACCTGACTCTTCAAGTTGAAGAATTATGGCAATTTATAGAATTATAGAATCATAGGAGAGTTGGAAGGGGCCACTAAGGCCATCTGATCTAACTCCCTGCTGTTGCAGGACACCAATATACACCATCCCATTCACTTACAGTAAGATAGCATTTCTTGTATAGCATGCCTTTTGAACACTTTTCACACAGCTTGCCATTAGTATACTATTATTTGGCTCCTTCATCAGTCCATGACAGCTCTCCAGAAATCTTTTGAGACCCCTTTATTCAATATCATAGATAAGAAAGTTTCCAGATACATGCAAAAGAGCTGATTTTCCAAACCATTGTCTGAAAATCAGAAAGCTAATGAGCCCTGCAAACATATTAACCTTCAGTGCATAAACTGAGCTGACCCCTCAGTTTATAGAGTGAAGATCAGAAAGTAAAGATGAGAATGAAAATGTTTGAAAGGACACTCTCTTCATTTGGTTATAAGCAAGGCACTGTTGATCTAATATGCATTGATAAACTTTTCCCTGCTTGATTCAGCTAAATCAAATAAATTTTCTTCTTCAACACATATTTTTCAGAAAGAGAGGATCTCAAAATCTTTGCAGACCCCATACTCTACAACAGCAGGCTCTACTCATCCAGTTTTCCATTATCTTTCCTCCACAACACATAGATGTACATGCTAATGAGAACATCAGGAAGTCAGCTTTCCCAAATGTTGCTTGCAATCTTTTAAGGCCTTTTTCCTCAACCACAAGCACCATCTCTCTCTCTCTCTCTCTCTCTCTCTCTATTCTCCCTCTCCCGCAGTGATTTTTTATATTCTGAGTCTGAATCTAATATTTCCCCGTCATTGGCTGGTCTTGATATTTATCCTAAAAGCAGTGCTACACCAATATCCTGATCCTGCCCCAGTCCATATACCACCTAATTTCCTGTTTTCACAGTACTTATGAACTCACCTTCCATGGTCAGCCTGGGTCTCTGACCACTAACTCTCCTGAGCATCACTATTATCAAGTGCCAGCATGGGAGACTATCAATCAAATATGCTACAGAGGGTGCAGGAAGCAAGTCAGTGCTGAAGTTGTAACACAGGAGAACTGAATATTGATCAAAATGTTGCAAAGTGACAGGGATATAAAACACAAAGAAGTGTGATAAACAAGAATAAACAACTTTCAGATATGGAAATACAAAAGTCCTATTTGTGTAATTCACACAGTTCTGAATCTATATAAAAAATTCACGGAAAGTAGTCCAACAGGTGCTGCAGAATCTTACTCCTAAGGCAAACCCAAACAGATTTCCTTTAAAATGCCACAAGGTTTTGATAGTAAAAACTTATTGTCACAGAAAATGCATCTGAATATAAAAAAGCAGAACTATTACTACACACTAACCATGTAATACCAACATTTTAACTAGATGCTTGGAACAATACAATTTTTAAAACCTAAAATTAATCTATGTGTTTAACATGGAAAACTGAGGAGACAGCCATCTCCATCATTAGAGTTACATCTGATCATAGAATCCTTTATTCCATAACATGCTTGTACTATAGACATAGTTTTTAAGTGCAACTTCCTCTTTTATCCCCATTCTGATTTGCAGCCAATATTCCAGATGGATTTTCCAGCTCTTTTCTTTATTCTTGCATTGCTAATCCTCCCAACAACTAATGTTCTATGGGCAGATTATAAACAGCTAGAAGATTAAAATACCATAGAACAGTTGAAAATATAAAATACAATACAAATATTTCTAAGAATAAAATACAATTCGGTGCAGTTTCATGTTCAACTCGTAACAGTATTAACTATCCGCCGGACACACCCCGCCTTGGCTAGCAGCCCCAAATGATAAGGCCTCGTGATCGACAGGGACTCAGCGGAGGGGAGGGGCTTCTGCGCACCGTTAGCTCGGTGCGGCCCCCGGCTGCGGCCACGCCACTGCCCCGCCCAGCTTCACTCGCATTCCAGCTACCTGCCTTTGCCCTTCGGCCCCTTCCTCAGAGTAAGGGGCCCAGGGATCTGGGGAGCAAAAGGGCTATACGAAAGGATACCCCCGCGAGCGCATAAAATTCGCTGGGATTTGTAGTTCGCAAAGGCTCGCATTTCCTCAAGCGCCCAAAGGAGGAGGTGGCCGGCAAGACTACAGCCCCCATCACACTCCGCGAATAGCGGGCGGGGGAGAACGGACGGGGCCCCTTTCTCCATGGCCCCTTCAGAACTTGCTTACCGGCGGAGAAAGGGCTTTCACGAAATCCGGGCACTCGCGATTCCTGGCGGGACTGATGTCTTCGGCATCTTCCTCAGTCGAGGCTGATCCGCTGGAGGGGCGACGGAATGGCTCCCGGGCCTGTCACCTGGCGGGGTCGCGTCCTTCGAGGGTTCGTGTGTGCGTGTGTGTGCGCGCGCGCGCGCGCGCACGAGAGGAGGGGGCGCAGCCCTTCGGCTTCCACCCAGACCGTTGGCGCGTCCGCGCATCGGCGACCGGTTACCATGGAGGCCGCGGGGGAAGGACTCCTCCTGTGCTGCTGCCGCTCCTCCCCCTGCTGGTGGGAGGAAGACCCAAATCCTCACAGACAGAAATTCCTGGCGCCTTTGCGGGGCGCGAAGCATCCGTCTTCTTAGCACACGCTTTTCCTGAATGGAGCAGAAAGTCTCCGTTTATGTCAGCCCCTTTCTACTGGTAAAAAAGCTCGAGGTTTTGTAGCGGGGCGGGGACCTGTGTGTACAGCTCCCATCATCCATCACCACTGGAATGTCAGGGATAAGGGAAGTTAAATACAATATACATCAATAAAGCTAGCTAACTCTAATTTTTAAAACAGAAAAGGGATTCAGGGGGCAATCCAATGTAAGTACAGAAAAAAAAGCCAAAACTCATACCCCAGTCATCTGTACCATAGAACTGTGCTGTTAATAGAATCTATAATATTAGCAGCAGAGGAGATGCGCTTGTCTGAGTCGTAGCACAAAGAACATGAAACCTAGTCACCAGAAACTTGGCTTGCATACTAAAGGACCCCTAGGAGTTTGCAGCTTAGGCTTATTTGGTTTTTATAACATGTTCAGGTTGCAATCCTATGCATATTTTTTAAAAAATCAGAAGAAGGCTATAGAACTCAAAGCATGCTCCAACTAGCATGGCTGGCTGAGGCATGCTGGGAGCTGTTTGACTCTTTGCTGTCTAAACAGGCTTAAAATTGTGCCTTGATTTATCTGAATTAATTTAAATATGCCCATATTTGAAATCTGCAGTACCATCTTCAGTCATTAGGTGGAAGACTTCTCTAAGCAGTCCACAGTTTTTCATTCAGTACAGTTTGAATCCAATGAGTAATAATTCAAGGACTAGAGTTCCTTCCACTATGGAGCAGCTGATTCCAGATGGTGATGCTTGGAAACTACTGCTCCTTCAAGAAGGAGGAGGGCAATTTGAACAGTTCCAAGCTCCTCCCACAGGCCTCCATTTTGTTTCCAATGCTGTTTAGAATCTGCATGAAGCCACTGTGACAGATTGGTGTTATCAATATGCAGGTGACACTCAGATCTGGTTCTGGTTACCACTACCTTCTGCTTCTTGGAGAGACAGCACATCTGCTATGAATGAATGCCTAAAGGTGCTAATGGGCTGAATGAGGAAAAACAAATTGAAGGTGCTTCCAGACAAATAAGAATTGCTTCCTGTTAAGGGGTCAATCCAGGATTAGAAGTGTATCAACCAGTTCTAGATGCAGTCACATTCCCCCTGAAAGACCATGTTTCAGGTTGGAGGCATGGTCCTTCAGATATCAGCACAGATAGAAACCATAATTAAGAGTATCCAGTAAACTGGTTGTTTTTCCAACTCCATTCCTTTCTGGAAGAGAATGATCTGCAAACAGTAAAGAATGGTAATGTCTAGGCTTGATTTCTGCACAGCACTCTAGACCGAGCTACCCTTGTGTCTACTCTGGGAACTGCAACTTGTACAAAATACGGCAGTTCAACTGTTCTCTGAAACATCATGGAGACATTGTATATCACCGATATTAAAGTCTTGGTGCTGGCTGCCAATACATTTCCAGACACAATATGAGGTGTTAGTAATTACCTTTAAAGCCCTTCATGGCTTGGGTCCAAAATACATTCACTAAGGCCCTCTGGGGACAATCTCCTGAAGTTTGCTTCCACAAGATTAATGTCAACTACCTAAAGGACCTTCTCATTGGCTGCCCCTAACTATGGAATGAATGGCCTGCTGAGAGAGATGTGTCAGTTATCCCAGACTATTGCCTTCAGGAGGGAGTTCAGGATGTATTGCTTCCAACAGACCTTTCTAGATTAGTTGCCAGATTAGCATAATTTAATATCTGTGTTTTTAGTCTAAATTCACATTGTTGCTGGCTGGTCTTGTAAACTGCCCAGAGTCTATGGGAATGGGATGGTATATAAAAATCTCAATAATAAGGAGTTATTGTCCCGCTTTATTTGTCATTAGAGCCATCTCATGGATGGAAAGATGGAATTCTGGAATAAGTATGTGTTGTGAAGTGCTCATAAAGTATTACTGGACATCCAGTCAAAAATCAAAGGCTAACTTGTGACTGCCAAGGCTTGCTTCCAATACATGCTTAAGGGTGCAATCCTATGCATATATAGACAAAAAAAGCCTTACAACTCCCAGCCAGTTGTTTGGGAAATGAGGAGGTGTCAGTCTATTTCCAATCTAAACATGTTCCCCAGAATGAAGTTCAAGTTATTGACTTACAGATAACAGGATCTTTGCATGGCATGTAAAACAGAGATTTCAATGACCAACAGCACAGCACAATTTTGGTGCAGCATCTAAGAGAGAGCAATTACAACAGTAAGTTGCAGCTAAAAGATTCAATTTGTGATTTCGCTGCTCCAGGCTTAACATGACAACTTCTCAGCTAAGTATCAGATGAGCCTTATTTTGGGGTGGAAATGTGGCCGTCATCCTCATCATCACAATAGTTATTACTCACTGCTCTGAGAGCTTTGACTGAGGTTCTTTTAGGCATGTCACCTTTCAGTTAAAGGCTGTAACTTAAGGCCAAATCAAACACAATGGGATATTCCATGACTGAATCTCAATGTTTTATAAAAACACTTAAAATAAACTGCAAGGGTGACCAGGGGTAGGGGACTGCATTAGCTCCATACCACCCCATCTGCTACATACTCCACTTGGAAAAAGAGATATAACTGTATTGGCTGTGTGTGTGTGTGTGTGTGTGAGAGAGAGAGAGAGAGACAGACAGACAGACAGACAGACAGACAGACAGACAGACACAGAGAGAGATTCTCCTATTAGCAATTCCAAATGATAATCCCAGGAAAACATTGCAAAGGGCCAGAAGTTAAAATCCACCCTCCACCTACAACACTACTTTTAAAAAGATCCTAGGAGATCTGATCCTACTGTTCATCCAAAAAAAGCTTCCAGAACAGTTAACAGGTAAAAAACAACAAGATAGGCCCTATCCTCAAGTTTATACTCTAAAAAGACATCAGAAAAGGAAAATGGGTTGGGGAGAGAAAGGAAATTAAGAAAATTAAAGCACTGATTCGTTTTTTTCTGCAACCAGCTGTTATGCCAGTGATACAGCTGGATGTTGCTGATCTTCTCATGTCAGGATTACCTGGAACAGAAACAGTTCCAAGCAAAAAGCCAGCAATGGATGGATTCTCAGCTGAGCTGCTTCCCCTGTATTCCTTTTTCTAGAGTCTGCCTGCCTGAAAGGCATAGGGTTCTTCTATTCGGTCCTAGACCTTAGTATCAAACTCCTGAGAATGCAGTACAAGACTGGAATGTTTCTTAGAGCCTTGTATTTTCTATGTATTTGTTTCACACAGAGGAAGAGAAATGGAACAGTATGCTGTTCCGTGTTCCAGAATTCATCACACAAGTGAAATCCATAGTCAGGCCCAGTCCTAGTTCCTTACAAATAGATCCATTCATGTTAAAATTTATTTTTCTGGTCTTTTTAATTCCAATATCACAAATTTTCTTGCACATTCACATCCATGCTATATCATTCACCAGGCATAGGAATATAGTGTGTGCATGGGAGGACGTAAGTGTTGTTTGTGTGTGAACATGCATTTATGTGCCCGTTTGAGATCCTGCAAATCCTACCATAACCACCGGTTCCTGCCATTTCTGGGACCAACAGCCCTGATGCACAAACATCCTCGCCTCTCAAACTACAGTGGCTAATTTTACTGTGCAAACATGTTCTCAGGCTGGGTTAACGTGACACAGCAAACAACCCTGTGCTGTTTCCATGGCACGTGGATTTTTGCCATGTGAACTTACCAGTCAGACAGTCCCATTGTTACCTAGGCAGTGTGGTTTCCACTTCCCCATTCCATCCTGCTCACAATGCATGTCAGCAGCCCCACAGGTGAAATCCCCATCCTTCTCTATAGACTGCAGCAGCCTCCTCCTGATTGGTCCACTGTAGTCCTGAGTCAGGTTCCCTTTCCTGAATGTATACAATGCTTTCCAACTGCTCCAATCCGGAAAAGGATTTTTTTATTAAATGATAATAAACTGTGTTCCATGATTCCCCATTCTCCCTCTGTATATGTAAACAGGAGAGATTGTGGTGAGGTGTGGAAACCTTAAAACAGACCATTAATTTTCCTTGTAGTTTCAGAAAAACTAATCCTACCACACAGAAGCCTCCAGTACAGGGTCCAGATGACACAAGAGACACACAGTGGTAAGATTTCACCATGGCTTCTCATGTTGTACAAACCCACCTTTTCTCTGATAGAGAAGATAAGCAAATCACTGCTCAGAAACTTGCTTGTTCTGCTTTAACGCTGCTTTTGACAAGGCCAAGCATTAAAGCAAGGTAGGCATACTTGGGCTTCTGTCAAAGACCTACCTCCCAGCAGCGGCTTCTCCTTTTCACTATTGGAACCTGCAATTCATCTGCCTCTTGTTAAGGCCCAGTCAACTGTGGTTCTAGTGGCAAGTAAGAGGATCAGGCGATTGTATTGCTTACTTACTAACTGGTCTACTGTCTGTCAAACAAGTAAGTGGTATCAATGCTGAGAAGAGGATGAGTATCAATAGCGGACGATTTCAGTGGCCCTGAGAAGGAGAATATTGAGGAATATTGCTGAGGAGAATATTGAGGGTCTTGCCCAAGGCCCCTCAAAAACCTGGAGCCTAAACCTAATTATTTGGAAATTAGTTCTAAACAAATGGACCAAAGGGGCAAATTAGATACAATTAGTTGATTGATTTAGTTTTTTCTTATGTAAATAGAAGTCTTGGGGAGGCCAGAGCTGAGGGGAAGGGCCTTTTAACTCTCTTTTTATTCCCAGTTCAACAGTGTTTCACCAGTTAGTAACCCTTGATGGCTTCCCTTGAAATGTAAAAAGGCTATTTGTGCCAGGATCATGGCAAAGGGAGGAAAAGTTAAACTTTGTCCCCTTCTT